AATATATTAAATATTAATAATATGTATAACATGTTTTCTACTATTACATAGCATGAGGACATTGCATACGGGGTGTTCATTATTTTTCAGGAATCGATTGGAATGAAAAGTGTTTCTGAATCTGTGATGTGTTATGTTGATCTTATTTAAGCTTTTCACATAAACACGCTTACAAACAATTGATAAGAAGAAAAAACATTACAACTAATTTCCTTTATTTTTCTTAACTTTTGTGTAACATACAACGATTATAGTTTACATAATCTCAGATTTTAACGCAGGTACTACAAAAATAGTACATTATTTTGTAGTAATACATGAAATAGAGTATTTCTTAAACAATTTTTGTAGGGCGAATTTATACAGAAAGATCAAGATTTTTAACAAAATGCAACTAGTAAATTGCATCGCAAACATAATCTCATAGAAATACTTTTTTAATACTTTCTTCGGTTAATGAATTGCTTTATTTAAAATTTTAAAATGCAATTTTTAATGTAATCGAAAATGTTTTCAATCTATAACATAGCGTTATTTATTTAATTAATAAACTTTAAGAGTTAATGATTTAAACAAAACTTGAATTAATAGCTGTACTGTGTAATCAGCTAATTTTCAAAGGGAACTAATTAATTTTTTTACGACGAGAAGTTAAAGGTGAACATACAAATCAGATGTGCAATGTATTCTAAATGAAAAAATTGTAACTTTAGGCTTTTAAGACACCACAAATATTCTCTTTGTTATTTACAATATGTGACCTAACAACTAATCTGGTGAAATTTGGGGAATGTTAACTTTGGTATCATTTTGTTGGTAAAGTTTCTTCCTAGTGGACAAACTAAATTATATAATAAACATTCATATAGTAAATAATAACTGATAGAAAATATTTCTTAAATATAATTATGCTTGAAATAAATTACTATTTATCTACCGTTAATAGCTAATAAAGAGAAAAAATACAAAGGAATATCACAAACGTAAAGAAAGAAAGACGAGCTGTTTGAACGACGTCTCTTGGTGTGCTTTTTTAATAACGTCGATAATTGACAAATTTCACTAAATATTTTAAGGTCGCCTGTTTTCATAGCAACGCGCGCAATGAACACAATAAAATACACAACTGAACAGGACCGCTTTTATATGAATAATCGAAAATATAGCATTTTTAAGCATCATTACATCGTCGCTTATTTGTACTGTGTAAATAATATTGAAACAGAAAAATCTAACACAAAAAAATAAATGCAGCATACGGAATTTTTGAAATTTGCGCAAAATACACAAAAAAAATGGTAAAGGCAATTATACTGGTGACGAATCATCGGTAGTATTGAAATTTTTAAGAAGATCCCGTAACCGTATTATTTCCTTTGTCGCTGCTGCTAAGTCTGTTTGTAGACTCAACTCTTTCTCTCTTAGCCTCTTTATATCTTTTTGACAGGTCTGAAACAGAACAGGATATTAGAAAATAGTAGGTATACTGTTCAATTTGAAAAGTAGTTTTGCAATCGTATTTTAAAAAATTAACCAAGTTTCATTTCATTTAATATATGTAGTGAACAAGAAAGGTAAACTGTTTTATATTTATCATACAGGATTCAAATGTGAAAGTGGAATAGCTACTAGTAATTTCGGAAGACCATTTTTTATTTATTATTATGGTGAAGTTAAATACCTTAAATAAATGTGTATTTAATTAATTTGCAAATATAGGCCGATTGCAGCATATTACGACACTTCGACACTTACCACATTCTGTTTTAAGAGATCCAGTTTGTCGCATTTTAGCCTGGTTACTTCTTGTACTAAGGCTTCTTGGTTAACGACATTATTTCCTAGAAATCCTCCTCCACTACCACCTACAACTGTAGGCCTTTCCTGACATAGGCTGCATGCCTTTGCAGCAGTTTCCGCACTCGACATGCTTTCTAGGCCGGTATCACTGTCCACGTATCCACCACCACCACCCAAGTGCTCCAAGTCTTCGCTCGTCAATGACGAGTCGTCACTCGCTTCAGATAGGGCGGGACGGGAGCAATGAGAATGTGCATGTGCCGTTAAGTCTGGAGAAGACGATGCCGTCGATGAAGCACCGCCGCCCCCATTACTGCTGCTGCTGCAACTGCTTTTATTGCTTTTGCCATTCGAGACAATGGAACTCTTTGAAAGAGATCTTCCACTCTGAAAATAATTAACTTATAGAAGTTGTATATACAAATAGTTGTACATAACAATTGAGTAACAATTATAATTTTTATTTAGAAAGATCAAATTTAACAAATCTTGCATGTAAATTGCATATTTAAGAAACTATAAAACTAAAATATTCAATTTTTTGGATAGATTAGATCATTTTCAACCCTTGGAAAAGATATACTTTTTGGTTTTGTAAATGTGAGATTGCAAACACATGTCGTTTTTCATGTATAATTTAGTTTGCTTGATCTTTTTTGAGAACATCAGACATTAAAAAAAACCGACAGCGGTTTACGTCTTAAAAACGTTTTTCTGCAAAAAATATGTATCTCATCATTTTTGATGTAGATTAACACCTCGAAAGGTTTCCTTGTTAGTTTCTCCTTTTTCAAATTCACTCCATTTTCATTTTCTTGTGTAACACAATCCATACAAGTTTCAAACGTTTTTTTGAAATAATAGGTGTTTAAAATTATATATCAAAGTATGNAATAATTACTAATTTTTTTAAACCTATTTATTATAAATATAATAGTGAAAGGCAAAGAATACAAGATAGAAGGGAAGACTCCCATTTCTGATAATGTTCAAAAAAGTGTGAGTTTCAACATCTCTAGTGGTTCTGTCCAGTCATCAAAACATAAAACGCGCGGTTTAATATAATCTATCCGATTTTTATTTCAAAAGAATAATAGAAAGATCTGGTTTCAGCTGTTTATAAAAGAGCTGTCACCCATGTAATTTAACAAGAAATGCGTCTTGTGGACTAGATTGTTTTAACCTGTTCTTCAACCAAGTTTTATGACCAAGTTAAGGACCATAGATATTACTATCATCATTAGGCCTAAGTTTAACATCTATGATTTTAACGGTTGTAACTATCTATGGTTGTAACTATCTATGGTTTTAACTTGAGGTTTCGTTCGACTCTGTTTTTGTTTGAAAACTTAAATAGTATCAAGTAAGGAAATAATGAATAAAAAATCCAATAAGGTAAGGAGGTTATAAAAAGAAATATTTGTAACATTTTCTCAATTTTCTACATTTTTTAAATACAGAATTGGATATCTTTAGATATTAAAGTTGATGAAGTGAAAAATGATTTCCCTGTTGGTACAAAAGTAACAAGAGATAGTTTGAAAGTTTTTGCAGTGCCAAGCGAAACTAAGAAGGCATATAATTTTTTTGAGAAAGTTATTCCAACAATTGAATCTCATCTAGCTGTACATTCTAAGAAAATAAAAGAGGTTGAAGAATGGCTACTGCGAAATGTAAAGGATAAATGTGGAAAGGTAGTGACAGTTGATTTTTTGAGTTTTATAACTTGGGGTTTAAGGGTTTTCCCTTGGTTCATAAACGTTATGAAGTTTCACTTGGTATCAATGTCCCAATAAGCCTTCAGAATATTTGTAATAGGTGATGGAAAAATGTTTGAATGACACCTTCAATTAAGGAAGGAGGAATACCAAGGGAAGAGAATCCTTTTCCTCAATGTCCATAATCTTTTGATTTGATTTTGTTCTCTAATGTGATATGGTTATAGGGAACCACCTCAATATTACTGATAACAGGGCCTGCTGGTTCTGGAAAAAGTGCAACAATAAATGTTCTTTGTAATAAATTAGATATCAGAATTTCAGAATGGGTTAATCCTGTTGATCAAGATTATGAATTATCTAAAGGGCCAGGACAGTCAGCACAATTTTTAGAATTTCTTGTACAATCAAAATATTTATCACTACTTGAAGACAGTGGTAAAAAGTTGACATTGGTTGAAGACTTTCCAAATTCTGTGATACGTAAACCTGATGAGTTTTTTACTATATTAGAGTGGGTACATATCATTTTTATGTTGTTCTATTGTGTTTTACATTTTTTTAATTTTTAGAAAAGTTTATTATAAAGCAAGATCTGCAATTGTATTTATCTGTGCTGATGAAGATATGAGTAATAATATATCTCATCAATTATTTCCTCAAAATATTAGGGATTTGTATAAAATAGAAAACATAACGTAAATATTAATAGAAGTATCAAGCAATATATATTTTATATCAAAATTTCATTTTTTAGGTTTAATGCTTGTTCTGTTACTTTAATGAAAAATTCCTTAAAAAGAGCATGCAGCTTAATACTAGAAAGATCAGATTTGTTTACTCCCCCACATAATGATATTATTGAGGCTATTGTCATAACAAGTTGTGGAGATATAAGATCTGCTATGAATCAGCTTTATTTTGCCTCTTTAAAGGGTAAGTATGCAAAATTAAATTTTGATTTATAGTAGAGTATGTGTGAATAAGTTTTACTGTAATTCTTTTTAAGTAGTATTAAATAGAGACATATTAGAGGCAGAAACAGGAGTTAAGAGGAGTCGAGGTAGACTTAAATTAGATTACAGTTTGCAAATAATTAAGGATGTGGGATGTTCTAGTATTATGGAAATAAAAAGATTAGCTCAGGATAGGAAAAAGTTTGAGTGACGACCTTATGATGATGAGTATTAAATAGGAAAAACCATAGGGAAAACAATAATTTTATTGGTTAAAATAAAAAAAAGGATACGTGATATACGCACATTATATGAGAATGTTAGGCAAAGTACCTTAATTAAGTCAAAGTCAAAGGAATGAAAGAGAGCTATCTGGTAAAGTTACAAATTACATAATATGGGTGAGAAAGAGACTGATCGCATACGAGTGCGTTAGTGTATGCACCACACAATTGAATGTTTGAAGTAGTACTCAAAATTGGAGTATTATTGCAGGGAATCTTCCGATGATGGCGTGCGATTAATCGTATTTTTTAACGTACTTCCTATTTTGATTTACCAGAATTAATTTCTAATATATTGCGCTAAATGAACATGCTCGTCCATATGTGCAAACAGGCCCGCCGTAAGCGGGCTTGTAAGGCGTGCATCACACGCAAATTAACATCATAAAATTTTTCCGGCGCTTGTTTCCTCCGGGAATTTTTTCCTAGATTTGGGCGGCATAACTTGTATTGCACGCGGGCGCTTAGGCGGTTAACGGCGGGTCTGCGTGCTGACGCGTAAAAAAAACATGTCCTAACTTTCTGCCGCCTGGTACATCAATTTTATAAGTAATTTTGAGCATTTTTTCTTATATTATACGTATATAGGCGGAATCTGGGCTATATCGAGATAAGGAGGGGGGAAGAATTCGAAAAAAAAAAATGGTTTTGAAGCTATAATTCACTTAAAATAGTTCACATTCCGGGAAAACCAGTGGCAGAAAAAAATCATGATGCATTTTTCCGTGTGTGAATAAATAAAAAGAAGGTGACCGTAACCGGAAAATAGAATATTCTCTTTTCAATGTGTACATGGACGTAAAAATAACGACAGAAATTTTAATAGGGCTATTTTTAATAATTCGACGAAAAAATGTCGAAAATTAGACCAAAAATGTCAAATATGGTAAAAATATGATTAAAATTAAAAAAAATCTGATATTCCGTTTTTAGGTTTTGTTAGGTCGAAATAAATGGAAAAAACTAGGGACAGAGATTTTAGACCAATTGCGTTCTCCCCAAACTACTACTAAAAGGGTGGATTTGTGAAATGACCACCTGAGTGCATTTGGGGTATCAAAGCGTAAATGCAATGTCATGCGAATAGGGATTCCTAAAAAAACCTAGATGATGAAAATACTTTGAAATAAAGTGTTTGTGTAAAATGTGGTTGCAACACACAATAAAAAAAATGCAACGTGTAATACAACACGCTACTGAAGTGAAACTTTTTCAAACAGACAAACATACCGGGATAGGAGTTAGGGAATTGTTTAATGGTATTATTTGTACATTATGCTTCCCACAGGTGCAATGCTGATAGTAAATATATTATAGAATTTTTGCCACTAGTTTCTTCCGGTTATTTCACTCTAATAGAGCCTAAAAATTTCCGAATAAAGCGACGTTATTTTTTCGATTCTGCTAAATAAATCAACCACTATTAATTTTACAAAAACGTGATAATTTGATTCACAGCTTGCAAAATTGAAAGGCAATTTTAAATTATTGTGATGTAGTTGTGTTGCTTAAATTTCAGCTTCTGGTAAACTTGAAATGCAAGAGTGTACAAGATCTAGTAATAAACGGAAACGTTCGGCCAAACCAAATGCGAAGTTGAAAAACATGTGCAAAGATGAATCATTGACATTGTTTCATGGTGTTGGCCGTATATTAAATCCAAAACGAATCGATAGAGGTGATGGATCGTGGCGTTTAGATGTTGACTTAGAGTCCCTAATCACGACATTCGCACCGAATCCCAGGAAATGCATTTTATTTTTACAGGAGAATTACTTAAAGTATTATGGACATATAGGGGACATTTCTGCAACTGCCGATATTTTAAGTTTTTCGCAAACATTTTTCGATAAATGGTCAGAAGAGTACAATAAAATGAGAGCCTATGGTTTGTGGGCGGCAGTTTTGGGATCAATGGTATATAATGAACATAAGGTATCAAAGTGGAATCAAATAACCGGTCCTACCAGACTAGAAAATAAGTAAGAATTTTTACTATAAAGCAAATGCTTAATCATTATATCTTAATATATGTAAGTTAATTAAGTTTTGTGGCTTTTATGAGGTCTTCTAAGAAAATATGTAGGGTATGCTAACTACCATATAAAAGATAGTTTTTGAGGTACTTTGAAAGGACTATGAAAATCTTACGTGATTTAGTTGTTTGCGGAATACTGATTTTTCAGTCGTTGGGCATTTAGCTCTGTGGCTCACTACCATTTGCTGCTTATGACAGAATATCAAAAGATTGGTAATTTTCGATTAGGAATTTCGATAAAACGACAACTTCGTTGGTATCGAATGTGGGCATAATCATCCTTCAAATATATATATTAATAGTCAACTAATTTCTGACAGTCGGATTTTGAGAGAAGATTTATTATTTATTATCATAACAAATTTTGGCCAACGCAAAACATAAACATTAAAAATAAAGTTTTATTTACTTTATTTGACACGAATGAATAACGGCTGTGTTACTAGATTTTAAGAAAGTTTTGCTTTAGGGGTAGATATGGTAGTACATTTTAAAATTGTTTTCATAATGTGTAGGGTGTTCAAAAAACAAATGTATTAAAGTTATATTTTTTAAATAGAACACCATTTATTTTTACATTTTAGGATTATATGATCAAAATAACAGCGAATATCATCAAGGTTTACCTCACGTAAACCTTAAGGATTTTGAAATACTTTGAATTTTGAGAAAAGAAATGTTTAAATCCCATAATTGATTAAGTTTTGTATCGCCCTTTTGAAAAAGTACCTAACGTGTACAGGGTTTCCAAGCATTATGATTAAATAAATACAAGCTTTAAACGGCAAGAGCTTGTTTATTTTAAATAGAACACCGTGTATTTTATGTCAGCAGTAGTTATAGAATTTAATACTCTGTCGAATACTATATACATTCCTATAGCCAACTGTTGGCGTTTTTATGAAAAATACACATTTTCAGAATACAAAGCGATTTTAACAAATTTAACATTTACTTTTGTTCTTTGTTTTGTTCGAAATTATTTAAAATTTCAAACAGTTGAACTGATGAGCAACGTATAGATACGTTTTAAGGACACAATTTTCAAGAAATTATTGGGCATCTACCAGCATTCACTATAATCTAATCAGAAAATATCAGTAATGAATATAATGGATCACGTGCTACGCATTTATTATTTCAGGCGTAAAGGAAATTTGTGTGATTAGGATAGCAGATCCAAAATATTCTGGAATGAGCTAACGTTTAAAACGTCTAATTAAAGAATGAAATGGCCTACATTCGGGAGCCATATCGTTGAATCGGTATTTTCAATTAAAATCTTTTGAGGTGTTGGTTCTGTTTATATGTTAATTAATATTCCGTCATAAGATCATAAATATAGGATATGGTAGTGGCTGTGTTAAACGGTATGGGGGAACCCCATGAGTAAAATATGAGTGCTAAGCACTAAACAACGGCACCATTCGCCCAAATTTGGGCGGGTTATCGTATTAATAATTTATTTGTTATCCTTTGAAGTGTCCTAAATAAAAACTGTTATTACATAATTATTTGTGCTAATAAGTGCGTAAAGATCTAAATGTAATTTCTGATTTTATGCTTATTCTTTTAAGAATTTACCCTTGTCGCTTTAGATCCTTAATAACGAATTTAATTTTACTTTGGCGGATTTTTTACACTCAAAAGTTTTATTATTAATTAATGATATAT